TCCGAAATAGACGATCCAGACAAAATACTCACTCGTTCCAGTGTGCCTTACGGCCTCTCTCTTGAGCCCGAAAAGCAGCCTAACAGCGGCGAATGATATAGGCAGAATGTTATCACGGACAAAGACAAGGGAGACTGGAATGGCCACTTCTGGCTTATTAACCGTCTTCATCCAGTCATACCCAACCCCGAGCTGTGGAACACCTGGGGCTCGAACTCGCGACCTGTTAGTTAGAAGTAGGTAAAGAAAAGCTGATTTTATGGGAATATATAGAGAGGCTCTCCTACCAAAATCTTCCCTTACAGTAGCTAACGGAGCAACACGCTACTCATCATGTAAACATGAAAGGAAGGCTAGGGTATACAATAAGCCCAAAAGCTATGAAGCATTGACTGAATTTCTCACCAGTACATTAATGACGTGAGTTAAAGCCAGTTAGTCTCTTACTCTTGGCAGCTATCCAATACAAATCTCCCGAGCATAAGGCAGCGACCGTCATATGAAAAATTAATTTATAACAAGGCCGGATATTCAGACTACCTCAAATCCCAGTTTTCAGAAAGTCTATTAAAAAGCTCACTTTTCTGGATGCCACTTAGAGTAATTTCCGCGTACATAGTAATGATTGAAAGTATGGTTTATCGTGGTTTTGATAAAACTCAATAATTTGCATATATTTCGTAGAAATATGCGACCAAATTAGAATGGCTATTACTGGATCACAAGCCGTCGACGGCCAGATTCAATCAGTTCCATGTGATGTTGAAAGTGGAATTTTAAGTTGATAACAAAGAACGCGGCTTTATAAAACCAGTTTTTTTTCACAAGACAAATTATCCCATCGCGGAAGTAGCGTCGTTAGTTATATTTAATGGTGTCATCAATTATCATAACTGCAGTATCGTCTAAATTAGCGGCCTTCGCCCGTCAAGCCAGATTGTCCACCCTCCCTTCGGCTTATCTCTTTCCAAACTTGCACCAATCTGGCCTTGCTAGCCGAAGAATGGTCAGGCAGTGGTGCTTGGCTGGTCAAAAGAGCCGCTGTTGTATAAGCAGGCTAAATGCTCTAAGCCATGACAACGGTCCTACCTCTTCCTTCTGTGTATAGTACGACCAGTGACCGGTAATAAAGCAAGAACTACATCGTTATTAATAATTTCTTTATGTGTTGCGGAAGACGTGACAAAATCCAATAACTTGTTATCGGTCTATATCGGGAGATTATTCATCTGCTTTGGGTCTGGTTAAAGGTGTGAAAAAATGGTCCTCGTAGCTTTCAACTCATCCCACCGAAATATGTACTGTGACAGCCCTAGGCAAGGGAAGGGAAGAAAAACAGTTGTCCTGGCATTTCTCAGCTTGCATGGATACCCTTAAATGTTCAGATTCAACGGATCCCTGGTCGCTACACTCGAGATGAATAATTGCGTAGCGTGGCGCGTTCTTCTCCCACAAGTGAATCGTGAAGGACAGAATGACTGTGTAAAGTTCACGTCCATTTGCGCCGCCTACGCAACTCCTAACATTAGCTAACTACTTTTTTGTGAGCAAATTTCAAGATGAATGTTTCGCAGTATCCCACAAAGTTCGGACAAAATCACCCATATACATTAATGGGACTTGGATTCCAGAGACTTACTCATGCAAACGGAGTGTCCTAGACTTTTAGATGGTGTGGGAATTTACGCAGCTGTTAATAAACCCTGTTAGGATGACCATGCAACGTCTTTATATTTTTACGACGTTAAAAAATGGGCAAATCGCAAAAAGGATATATCACAATTTAAAAAATGGTGATAAAATTTGGTCCTACGTATATTCAGTGATCGAACTCCGGAAATGTTAACCGAAATTCTGTAGTATGGTTTCTATTAGGATTCATTACTTAAGTAGGGTTGTACTATTGATTATTATGCAGTCACGCCAGAATCCTGACTTTTAAATGCACTTTTTGGCTGTCTGCAAAGCCCGCACTCCGAAAAAGGGACTGTTTAAGTCGTATCATTTTCCCAGTGAATTGTAATTCCTTTATTAATTCAAATGCATTTCATAGAAGGCATTCACATAAATATAATTTCTTGAGCTTATTTAGTAGCAGCTTACGTCTTCTTCACATTTCATGCCCGAAGAAAGAGTTTCTTCCGGTATAATGCCTTTCAAAATGCCCCGTATCTATCCGTTTATTAAAGCTCATTAGGACGTTCAAAACACAGAGCATGTTCATTGCAAAATACCATTACTCCTATGTGGTATCTTGTTAGCGGCATGAGGAATATATGATTTTCCTTGCATGGGAAGTTTGCAGATTATAGCCCCAAACCTTAACGTAAATGCAATGGCAGATCGGGCTCAGAATTATTTGGAAACAAAAAACATTTTTAAAAGCTCTGTGTACCTTTTCTTCGAGTAGAAACCTTGAATCGGGTGAGATTTAATATCAAGTGAGTACGCAAAATGTCATATTTTACCTCTGCTTTCTACAAAATATGGTTAAATTTATAAAGGTATTGAATATTCATAGAAAAACCGCGTTCTACCTAAACAACGATTATTAAACGGGCGCGGTCCTTACAGGCGGCCTCAAAGAAGCACATTCAAAAGGCGACATTCTGGCGTGACTGAAGTATTTCGAAATTACACTGATCGATGACCATTATTTTAGTCCTTCCCAATCAAGAATGGATTTCAGAATTTCGGCGAGTATTTCACGAGTTCAGTCACTGGCTTTAAACTGCTGCTTTTTTATCATAAGCCTTACTTCACAGTGTTTATAACCAAAAACGAGATAAAAAAATTAATAAAGGCATTTCTAATCCATTTTACTTGAACACGGTTGGAGATTTCGCCTAATTTTGTTTGCTTTTGACCAATCCCTAGCCGAAACATGTTTCTGTCACCCACGCATACCATTGCAGTGAAACTATATAGAAACAGTATTGATGGGCGAAACTTGAACCAGAGCAGTGGAGGTGTCTCCCCAACTTGGTGCAAACGGGGTTGCAGCTATATTAACAACGCCAGTAATCAAAAGGAACGCAATGGTTGTGGAGATGGTAGTAGTAAAAGTTACTGCAGTACACATTATAGATGGAATCTTAGCCTTGGTTGTAGTATTGACTGAAATACTGGCACTATTTGCACAACGTAGACAGTAGTATTGAAATGAAGTAGCAGTGAATGAATTGTTAGTTCCTATCTATAACATCTTTTTGACAGGAAATGGCATTATTTTAAATATAAAACATAACCTGGACATATGATCAAATACATATTCTACGCAACTGCTGGAACCTTGTGGTATATAGCTGAGCCCAAAGGATATGGGTTACTTTGTTAACTTTTCTGTCAAACGGTCTTGAGCATATTCTTGGTGGCTTGACTGCCTTACCCGTTTTAATATTAGTCAAAAACACTAGAGAGTCAGTCTCACTCGTTTGCGGTTATTGTTACTTTTAGCAAATTTTTAATTTGCGCTCGGTGGGCCATGGGGCTGAAACTGGAAGAAACTATAAGTCGGTTAAAACATGGACGGTCTACGAAAATTTGTATATAACCGTCTACCCACAGCGAAGAGAAGAAATCTGAATATCGAATTTTTGACTTAGGCTTGATGAGGCAGTTTAGTGGCCAAATTAAAATCAGTTAAATGGCACAGGTTCTCCAGAAAAGTAGCAGTTGAGAGTAATTGTAATACTGTGAATCTCGAAAATGTTATTACCAAAGCTTAAAATTTCGGTAAGAAATGCAGCGTTTACGGCAGTAAAACAAGGCACTTTCAGTTTCCACAGATTATTCTTACCATCAAGGAGATTTGAAGTTTCACATTTTGTTAAATGAAAGCGTGTAAAATACCTTTCAGCAAATTAATATGCTAAAACCGCCAAGAAGAATGCGTGACGAGCTTAGGATGAAGTAGTACTTGCATGTTACAAAGAGAAGTTATTTTGTTAAGTTAACTGTCCCACTTGCGTTTAACAGGAAAAAGAGAGGGCTGCTTCTATTAAACACAGTGACATTTTTGACTGGTACCACAGAGATCCTTTTAATTCTACATTTCAGAGACAAGAAACCCCTTTTTGGGGAGCTTAACTTAAGGCATTTGAACTTTTTTCGGGGCCCGCACTATATGCGCAATGAAAAGGGCCCAGTAAATCTCCGACATTTGCAGATTTTATGGACTTTTGAAAATTTTCTTAAAACATTGGACAAACTGGTTATCAGGAATTTAAATTCAGACTCTGCCTATAAAGGCGGTAGTTGAATTTAAGATTTTTATGCCTCCAGTCACATGCCATCTTACGGGGTTGGAACAAGGGCGGCTATAAAAGTATTCTAAGCTTTTTGCCTACCGTACAGAAATTAATTTTGCAACGCTAGGTGACCGCTGTCTGCAGAGTGGAGGGCCACCATTTGCACCAAACGATCTTAAGAAATTTATTTTTGATTTCAATGAAATCAAGATATGTTGACTTTTTCAACATTAGTTTGCCAAAAGCAAAGTAACACGGAAAATAGTCCGACCAAACAGAAAGTGGTTAAGATTCCAAACGCGGATTTCAGTCCCTAGCAATAGGAAGGATTCCTGATTTATAGAAAGACACAAACCCTAAATAATTAAATGTTTGACTACTCGTATGCAGACGTTACACCTAAACTGTCGTCTTTTTTCATTTTGCATTCACGTTTTTATGGTAAACGCTCTTCAAATGTAGAGCGGCCTCTAGGTACTTGCCAAAAGAAATATTGTCTGAAAAAAATTAGATATCCTGATACTCCTGTTTTTTGGTTGACGAACCTACAAGACATAGAAAGTAAATGCTGAACAGGGAGGAAGTCGGAAAAAATACGGGGGATTAGAATTAATACTGGCTGTTTTCTGGTCAACAGATCGAAAAGCCGAAGTTTCAGACATGAGACATATGCGTATGTATATAAAAGTAAATTGAATAGTGTATGGGCAGTTAAAAGTGGGCCTGGTTCCAAGACGTATTCCATATTCTTCACCCTTCGCGTGATTGTTTAAATGGAAAGCAACAAGTTTTGGAGCGCTCCGTTTTCGAACTGCGCCTCTTGGATCCGTGTTTGCTGCTTGCAGATTTTACATTCAAACTCCCGAAAATAGTGGGACGGTTAGTCTTCTCCGTATTTAGGACGGCCATTGCAGCCAACTGAAAGACAGCTTTCACATTTGCCCTCGTCACTGCGGAACACTCAAGGTGAACGAGCGCGCCGATCTGCTGCTGCACGTCAGAAGCCTCATCGGGGTCAACCAGCTGGTCGTGCTTCAGTGCACGCGGAGAGGCCTTCGTTTGTTGCGAGGGCAGTAGAGCCTGTCGCAGGTCAGATTTACATCCAACAAGAATGATGGGGGATGTGGGACAGAAATGACGAACCTCACCGTTCCATGTGTGAACCACGTTGTGCAGACTGGTCTGGCAGTCGATGGCATAGCAGAGGATCACGACAGCCGCGCCGGGATAGGCCAGCTGCCTTATCTGATCAAACTCCTCCTGACCACCGGTATCCCAGAGACTCAGAGTCACACTGCGTCCGTCAGGGAGGTGAACTTCTTCGGCGCTGGTTTCGAAAACAGTCGGTGTATAATCGCCCTCATACTTGCCTCTGACAAAGGACTGCAGGAGGGCTGTTTTGCCCACCATACCATCACCGACAATTACTAGTTTTTTGGACGTGACTGCGGGCATTGATAACTGGGGTGTTCTCGTAGAATGAATGTCTGTGGAGATTCGTCAGGTTCAGAGCAATTGCAAGCGGACTGCATTGATTGTCGCCGCCTCTTACTTGTTCACATACCGTTCATGAGAGAAGGGTATATTTCCATGTGTCTGCGACACCCACATAAGCAAGTCTTAGAGTGCGCAGCGTTTGTCTTATCCTGAAATAATAGCTTAGACCAGGCTAGAAGAAGAAGACATCTGGCGTGCGTGCAATCCTCATGCTTTCGCCACCTTCAAGGTCATCCTATTTGTGCGTGAACGCACGGGTGATTGGCATCCAATCGGGTTGACGGTATTCTGCCTGCTACCAGCGCCTAGTGCGCCGCTCTCTCTTTTTCACTCTCTCTCTCTCTCTCTCACTCTCTCTGTATCTATTTCTACCGCTACCGCGCTCCATTCTTTGCACTTCGTCTTACCGCCATGTGGTACCAGTGCAAGCATTTCTGTGGGAGCGCTAATTCCTGGGCCTCTAAGTTAGAGATGAATGGTGAACTATGGACTCTTTGGCGATTGGGCAAACGTTTGTCATTGGCTAATTTGTCGAAAAGGAATTAAGTTATTTGTCCCCTGGTAATTTCCACTTGCCTGAAATTCAATGGACCCTTCAATTTAAAGTCCAAATTAGAATTGAAGTAAAATGTTTAGCATGCTTTGTCAAAATTAAAGAAACAAATGATCTTCTTCTTTAGAATATTTCAATGAATGATTAAACAAAAGCCAGTGATGAAATGCGCGAATTCGGAGTAGTTCCATGTTATTTGTGTTTTTCTGATAAATAACTGTTTGGAGTATTTTGAGCCAAGGTAAGCTTTGAGTATATAATGACGTCGTGTGCTGTTTTACCTGATACTCACATGAAAGCTATAATGTAGAGACCTGAATCGCGTTTCAACTATTGTAAACCGCAACACGACGCAGAGCAGGGCTTTCGGTCCATCACCGCGTGCTTCAGCCGTCCCCGTGACATTTTCGGTATGAGACCAGTTTTTAGTGAATATTACAAGGCTGCCCCACATTAATGAACTAATTTATAGCTAAGTCGACCGAACCTGGTAAAGCACGTTTGCCTCCAGGTAAGATTCTAAGAAGCTGCAGAATAATAAGTAATCCCAGAAATTAATTAATGCTAAATTAATGATGGTTGGAAAACCAGACATTTAGTTTGACCTAGTAACTAAGGGATGAATGAGACATAAATTAGCCCCGACAACGGTAGGATGAAGGACCTCACTTAACTGTCGTTAGACTGCACATCGTCAGATGGGGTTTTCTCTCGACATCCGTCTGCAGGCAGTTGCAAACCTTAGCCTTCCGACAAAAATTACTTTCCATGACCTAAAACCACTACTCAGACTGCGTTGTCTTTTGAAAACCTGTTTTTCGTTTATTTTTTAATTAACACGTTCAGATTTTTCGCATATTAAAGCGTACGATAAGACTTTCGGTAGAAATTCTAACAATTCCCATGTTTTCGTGCACTTTGTCAGCTTCCAATCGGGCGTGCTGCCCAACCCCTAAAACCCTCATTACCACCACTCCCGCTTTACAGGATCCATAGTCTATCGACAGTTAAGTAAGTTCTAATACCCTAACGATGTCCTAACCTGAAATGAAAACTATTAAGGGCAATGACAGGGGAGGTTAAAACGCACAATTTGACTTGTTTTCCGCTACCAGACAGTGACACCCAAATGATATCCCTGCCGAGTTATTAGGTCATCGAACACTTTTATGTAAAGTGCTCCGCTAACTGAATCCTGGGCCCACATATGGTCACTTAAAGTCGGGAACATTCAGTGGACCTGAATGCTATGGAATCGGGATACATGAGGATTATTCTTCGCATCTGCCTACAACAAATATTAAAAACCTTACTCTTAAGACTTTACTTTTTTTCTAGTTTTACAACTCTCGTCGAAACTGCAAGCTGCCATTTTAAAGTTGCAATTGTATCTGAACCTATATGGGAGGATGGTGTGGAGATTCGCTATTGAGTTGATCTCCTACCCCTAAGGAAAGAGGAGGCTTGGGGCATCCAAAACGCTAAAATGGCATAAGAACCCCAACAAGAAAGGATCTGATCATTTTTTCCAAGAAAGAAGCATATTATTCTGTCAACTGACAGCCTTAAAGAACATAAATTTAGCGAGTCCTATTTTTCAAAATGAAAAATATGTCGAAATGTCATCAAAGGGGACACTTTACTATCGGTCTCAAATTCTCATTTCCCTTCCTCATGAGCCAGCAGCCCTTTTGAACCCCCAGGTCAACTGATTGTCAGCCCAAAAACAGCGGTCTAGGTGGCGTCATAGCCTTCATTCGCTGTGTTTCTAAAGAAATTCACGATGGTGGTGAAGTCCTCATGCGGCCTCAACGCAGTCCTATTAAAGCATGTTATAAGGTGCTACGTCCCCGTCTAACGCAATACTAGTACAACCAGTTTGATATGAAATAGGGGTACCTCGCATACTTCCAATGTAACGACCTTTCTCCCGTGACCTATTGTTACCTTGCATTTTACTGCCCAACGTATGCTTACCCAGGTGCAGATAACACGTTTCTCATCCTGTCTGGCAAATTCCTAACACAGAGAGGCTTTGTATGATGTCCGGCCAGTCCCAGCCATTCAAGCCGGACGTCAAATTTAAGGCTGACATGGACGCGCTCTCACTCAAGGACACTTGAATGTCTTCACCCGCGGAGTTGGGCAGACGCCCTGCGACCGACTGACGACCTGTTTCACACGCACCTTCTCCCCCCTCTTTATGGCCGGAATACAAATTTCACACCACAGACGTCAATCTACACTCCTGAGTAGGGGGCTGCCCTGAGGTCGTTGAGGTCATGGTCCATCTGTACTTTAACTACTTCGGTGTCGCGCAAGAAATCTGCCTAATAGAATACTAGGGCTTAAAGTAACGACGTCTCTGTCTAATCCTGGAACAAAAATAATTAGTAATCAGTATGTTGTTACCGGCAAAGACAAGGGAAACTGCAATGGCTATTAGTCGTCGTCAGCCGGTCATGCCCAACCCCGAAGTGTGGAACACCTGGGGCTCGAACTCGCGACATGTTAGAAGTCTACACCTCTAATCACTGGGCCACGAGCCTCTGGTGTTCCACACGTCGGGGTTGAGTATGACTGGCTGACGACGGTTTATAAGCCAAAGTGGCCATTCCAGTCTTCCTTGTCTTTGTCGGTAATAAAATACTGCCCATATCATGCGTCGCTGTGCGCCTGCTGGTGGGGCTCGAGAGAGAGCCCATAAGGCATAACGCGATGAGTGGGTTCCGCGAGAACGATCGGTGAGCGCCCCCTACCAATTAGTAATCAGTTTAAACTTGCTTTTACATCTCTTTTATTCTTCTGTAGTGACATGCATAGTGGATTTTGAAACCCGCTAACCTCTGGACAGGAGGCATGATCGACCTTCTCAACAAAACAGGAGATTTGCGCCTGAAGGTAGTAGTGAAAATTAGGGAGGGGAGTCTTAAATTATCCAACAACGCTGATTTACCTCATGAAACATTTTACAACCACTGTTGTTGAAAAAATTACCAAACAAATGATTTTCGCAACATTATTGTCTAGTGCAGACGTGAGGAGAATTTATTTTCATTTAAGAAGGTTAATTAAAGTTTTCTTTTTAAAGACGGGTTTGCAACTTTGTCGACCGGTCAAGAGAAACTGGAAGGAATGTTTCGGTTTCGTTGCTCATTGTCAGATATACACGTAGGACGCCAGGAAGGAAGATCGCAAGACTCGTAGTAGGACTTTATGGCTGTTTAGTATTTAATTAAACACTCTGTTGCCGAATCAGCAAAATAATGATTAGTGAAGGCGGATTGGTTTTTTCGCCATTATTTGCTATTCATGGAACGACACAGACGTTCCAGTGATTTTATATTAGGATAATGGTGCATAAATACGATACACGCTTTTGCTATTTTCAAACGAGTTCTTGTGGGTGGTAGCAAAAAACGGTGAGGAAATTTAAGAATGTCATTTAAGTCAACATGCACCAGTCATAGGACGTACCCAAAGCCAGGTCGTGCTAGCATTTATTGTCTCTGTCCTAGAAAACATGAGGGGTCATTTAGTCTAATGTAGTCCGCCAAGGATCCCAAAGACTTATTACGGTATTTTACTACACTGGTTTTTAAGCGAGCTTCAGCACTAGTCGCGGATTTCTGAGTGCCAGACAGGCATGAGAAGCCCCAGCGTTATTAATAACCTATTAACCCCCATGAAAGTTGGCAGGTATTAGCAACTGCAAAACAACCCGTTTTAGTAGAGAGTCCTATACTCGCTCGATCGTTGTTACCTACAATGTCCACCTTACGCAGTACACTTAGAGGCGAGGTTTGGTTCGGCAGCCCCACTTGAGTGATACCATATGGTTTACTTTCTAAAAATAATTAAGTAGGTGAGAGTATGCTGACTTTACAAATATCACGTATTTGCATCTTCCCTGCATTTTCAATCCAGCCAGTGCCTATGTCACGGGCGAACGAGTGTCTATACGCCAGCCTCGGTTACTTTGGTTGTCAGCTCACACGCGCCTCCTTGAGCGTGATTCGAGCCCTGCTTGCGCCCTCATTATCGTAATCCAGCGAGTGGCCACGTATACTTACTAAGGAATTGTTTGGACGGTGTGGAACTCTGTCGATTTCACTGTAGTGGTCATGCGCTTCCCTCTGTGGCCTTCTAGTTGCGATTGCGCCCTCCTTATCCTCTCAATCCAGAGAGTGGCTGCGTCGGCGAAAGAGTGTGTACACGCCACCTTCACTCGCGCCCCTGCGCGTGCTTCAAGCTCTGCTTTCGCTCTCTGTCCCTTTCTTATCCAGCAAGTGGCTAAAATAGGTATGTCTGTAACGTCCCTTGATCTGAACAGAGCTGTTTGAGTGCTGTGACAATTTTGGCGCGGACCTGGGAGGAGATGGTGTAAGTGCGTACTGGTGAGGAC